GAGCACAGGGACAGCGCCCAGGCCCAGAGGTCAAGCCTCATGACCGACCAAAAAAAAAAAAAGTGAAGTTCCTTCTGGCTCTTACCAGAATTTGCTTCCCTGCCTCCCCTTTCCCTTTCTCCTTCCCACCTCCCCTTCCCTCAAGGCATTGCTGGGAATGGAAACTCAGACTTTGGTACATGGTAAGCAAAAGCTCTACTATGTAGTTACACCCCATTTACCTGTATGTTTCTATACATTTGTATGTGTTCAGAAGGTACATACTTTCTGTGAGGTCCACCCTGGGAAGGTGGATCAGACTCCTCCCTCCTATTGGTTAAGTCTCCCCCCAGTACCTCCGTCACCTAGGTAACTGGCACACTGGGAGGCAATCCCCCCCCCACACACACACACTCATGTCCACATGGGTGTGGACACACCTTCTCCTGCCCCTGGCCTTGATAAGCCTTGGATTAACTTGACTTTTTTTTTTTTTTTTTTTTTAATCCTTTCTGCCTAGGCTTCCAACTTGACCAGACACAGCCTGAATCTCGAAAATAAACTTTCCTTGCCTGAATACCACCTGCTGCTCTCTCTTTTTTCGGCAGCCAATTTAATTTACCTAACACTTTCTGTATATACTTTCTCTGTATATTTAGCTGTACTTTCCTCCTTACCCTACTGTGTTCACCCTAGTGACAGGACCTTGCTAGAACACTAAACCTATATGTAGCAAAGTATTTATAAAAACCTTGTTTAAAAAATTCACTATGGGGCTGGGAAGGTGGCTCAGTGGTAGAGTGCTTGCCTTGCATCAAAACAAACCTAAACAAATCAGCAAGCATCAAAATGTATAAAGGTTTTAGACAGGCCTCTGTATACTTCTGAATCACCTCGACAGTAAAAAAATAATGAAATAAAAAACCCTGCCAGTTATATTTCTCACCAGTGTCAGGAAAGTTTAGTTGGCAACTAACAGTAAATCTATTCTCATATTTTCCAGTTAAAAGTAACTGAAAAATTCCTTCTGAAGTGCTTGCAGTAGCTTTACTCACCATATAAGGAAATGAGTAATTCTGAACTTTTCGGCCTCATCTTTTTCTTCTAGGTACTAAGAATATACTTGAAATGAATGCTATACTGCTGTTAATTAGTAAATTATCTGTGGAAGATCCAAACTAAAGTTCTGTTACTTTCCAGGCCATAAACAACAACAAAACAAACACACTCAACCCTTTGTTTAAATTATTTAGAATAATGGGCTGGGAATGTGGCTTAGTGGTAGTGTTTACTTAGTATGCACAAAGTCCTGGGTTCAACTCCTCAGTACCACATAAATAGAAAAAGCCAGTGGTATTGTGGCTCAAGTGATAGAGTGCTAGCCCTGAGCAAAATTTGAAGCTCAGGGACAGTACCCAGACCCGAAGTTCAAGCCCCAGGACTGGCCAAAAAAAAAAAAAAAAAATTCCTAGCCTGTAGGACACCAGTGGCTCAGGCCTGTAACCCTATCTACTCACAAGGGTGAGACCTGAAGAATATCTGCCTGCGTTTTAAAGTCTGTGAAACTCCATCTCCAATTAACCAATAATGACTGACTAGAGACATTGCTCAAGCGGTAGAGCACCACCCATGACCAGGAAAACTGAACAAGTGAAACCCTGAGTTCAAGCCCCAGTACCATCACAAAAAAATTTTTTTTAAAAAGTCCCTAGTCAATGATGGTAAACTAAAAAAATATTTAGCGAATTTGTTAAAAGATTAGTTTTTTAATAGTCATAAATGAAGTCAGTTTCTTACAATATTGTCTTTTAAATCTTTTATTGCTCAAAAAATTTTAACAAAGTAAAATCTGGCAGAGATCCCTTTCCATCTTTGTGGGAAAAAGTGAGACTAAAGTTTGAATTCAGGCCCTCATGCTTACTAGGTTAGTGCACTACCACTGGATACACACATCTAGCACTTCGAATTGCCTTTGGTTTTACCATGCCCAAAGTACTTAAAATGCATTCAAAATAAGACTATTATTTAAGCAATAAGCCATCAAGAGTAAAAACCCTACCCTAACAGACAGTGAGAACACAGATCCTCTCATGTTTTTTTTGTTTTTGTTTTTTTGTTTTTTGGGTCCGGTTGTGGGGCCTGAACTCTGGGCCTGGGCGCTGTCCCTCAGCTCTTCAGCTCAAGGCTAGCGCTCTACCACTGGAGCCACAGCGTCACTTCTGGATTTTTCTGCTTATGTGGTGCTGAGGAATTGAACCCAGGGCCTCATGCATGCAAGGCAAGCGCTCTTACCACTGAGCCACCTTCCCAGCCCCTCCTCTCATGTTTTCACACAGAAAAAGTACTTCTCACACCACAGTTGGTTGGGCTTAGATAAACGCACATTTTAACAACCAAATGCACAAATTATACAAATATACTCATGTTAAGTTATACATGATGTCAAAGGCCTTCCCCAGGGACTTGTCTAGGGTTACCTATATACCACCAGATGCAACACTCACTAAACTCTGTAGGACAAAATGATGGCATTTGCAGGGAAATCCATGGAGCTAGAAGAAATCATGTTGAGCGAGGTAAGCCAAGAGCAGAGACAAATGGCACATGGTCTCCCTGATAAGTATGTTAAATCCAAAATGTAAGGTAATACGACAAAATTAACAAGACTTAATTAAGAAACAAAAGACTTCCACTTATCTGGTTGAATCACTACTAAATAACCCCATGCTGCTGATCACATGTATGGTATATATGTGCACACCGGAGGGAAACCAAGAGGACGACACAGAACTAGAGGGAATCAGGGAAAAACATACAACAGCGGGACCCATCAGCTGCACTGGACATTGATCAAAATGAACTAAGCAACTCAATGGCAGCGATGGGAGGGAGGGAACGAGTGGGAAAGAGGGAACAGCTGGTGCTATGCAAAACAAAAGAAATGTACATATCACCCAATGTGGAAGAGATAACCGTATGGCAAAGCTCACAGAATTCATAAAGATGATAAACCATGAAAGACAATTTGCCCCATGAAAGTGAGGATGTGTTTGTGACTTTAACTAAGCATCACTATCTCACAATACTGTGAAATTTGGGAAATTCTGTAACCACTTAATCACAATAAAAAAATTTTTGGAAAGAAAGAAAGAAAGAAAGAAAGAAAGAAAGAAAGAAAGAAAGAAAGAAAGAAAGAAAGAAAGAAAGAAAGAAAGAAAGAAAGAAAGAAAGAAAGAAAGAAAGAAAGAAAGAAAGAAAGAAAGAAAGAAAAAGAGAGAGAAAAGATGGCATTCTCAGGAGGAGCAGGTCGAGAGGAGGAGATAACTGGGCCTGACATTTTCCTCAGTGCCTTCAGAACTTCACAAGAGCAGTGGTGGAGACCAGAGATGCTCTTGACATCATCGTGACCTTTTCTGTAAGGACAAGACAACACCAGAGGGTCAGTTTTCCCTAGTCCCTCCACTAAAGCTAATGCCAGTTGGAGGCTATAAGAACCCAGGTTAGAAGGAATGACTCTGACAGGAATAACGAACTGCTTTGTTACCTTGTTTTAGTGCTAATAATGAGTAGTAAGTACTAACTACTGATAACAACAAAAAAATGTAGGGGCTGGGAAGGTGGCTCAGTGGTAGAGTGCTTGCTTTGCATGCCTGAGGCCCTGGGTTCGATTCCTCAGCACCACATAAGCAAAAAGAAAAAAGCCGGAAGTGGTGCTGTGGCTCAAGTGGCAGATTGCTAGCCTTGAGCTGAAGAGCTGAGGGACAGCGCCCAGGCCAGAGTTCAGGCCCCACAACCGAACTCAAAAAAAAAAAAAATGTATATGTAACAATAATATGTGGCTTATCCAAGTGTTAGGTCAATAAAAAGAACTTTTATGTCTTTTAAAAACACACTACACAAAGCTATATGTGTACTTCATCAAACTCAACCACAGAAAGGGAGGGAAATGCATCTAAAAGGCTGTTGGATTCATCTCCAGTGGTCAGTGGGAGAGCTCACAGTGTAACAGTAACACAGTGTTAAGGAACATAGATTCTGTGTCAGACTAATGTAGGTCTACATGCATGTTCCAATATTGATCAGTGGTGTCACTTTGACAAATAGTTCCTGATCTTAGTTCATGATCAGTAATGGGAAACATTATTTAGCTTTAGGCACATGAGAATTAATTCAGCAAATATCTTAAAATTATACTCAGTGATAGGTGCTGAATCAAAGGTGAGCTATAACCTATACTTTTTTAAAAAACTTTTTTTCAAGGCTAGTTATGATTAGGCACACCTTTAATCTCAGTTACTCAGGAAGCAAAGTTTAGAAAGACAGCCTGGGCAAAAACTTAGCAATACATCCATCTCAACCTGTACAGGTCAGGCCTGGTAGGTCATGTCTATGATCCAGCCATGCAGAAGCACAGGTAAGAGTAATAGTATCATGATCCTGGGTCAGACGTTGGCAAAAAATGCACAACCCTATCTTAAAAATCACTAAAGCAAGCCGGGCGCTGGTGGCTCACGCCTGTAATCCTAGCTACTCAGGAGGCTGAGATCTGAGGATCGCGATTCAAAGCCAGCCCGGGCAGGAGAGACCGTGAGACTCCTACCTCCAATAAACCACCAGAAAACCGGAAGTGGCGCTGTAGCTCAAGGGATAGAGCGCTCGCCTTGAGCTGAAGAGCTGAGGGACAGCGCCCAGGCCCAGAGTTCAAGCCCCACGACCAACAACAACAACAAAAAAATCACTAAAGCAAAAAAGGGTAGAGGCATGGCTTAAGGGACATAGTACCTCTCTGGCAAGTGGGAGGCCTGAGCTCAAACTCCAGGACCGCGGAGGAAGAAGTGGGGGAGTGGAGGAGGAAAGGGTAGGGGAAAGAGGGAGAAGCCTCCATGAAGGTGAAGAGCAATAAAAAATCCATGTGCACTGGAAAGGGGAAACATGAGTTACGGGTATAATTTTGTCTTTCTGTTGTCTGTATTGGTCTTGTTACAAATCGGTAGATAAACACGAGGTAAATAGGGACTTACGGGTTTTCTAAGGAAGAAGATGGACAAAGCTCCCACCAAGGGCATGTCTCCGATGAGCGGCTCCAGGATCACACGCATCGTCCCATGGACCTGCCCTCAGGAAAGCAGAGCAAGTCAGAGAACACAGTTCTACAGGGTCATGCACCTGACTTCATGTTTCTTCCAACTACAACCATAAAGACAAACTTACTTCCAAAACCTACTAAGCAAGTACAAACTTTACAGTTTTCTTCTGATACAACTTGGAGAACTTAAAGCTGAAAATCTGACAAACTTACCTGTATACTTTTCACACCAGCTCTACAAAAGTATCGTTTGATCTCCAAATCAATCTCACAATTTCCTACAAAACTAACACAGAAAAAATTCTGCATTACACGAAGTAAGTGGAAGTCTTTTCTTAATCACTGGTTAAAAACTATAGCTGCTGGGCCCCAGTAGCTCACACCTGTAATCCTAGCTACTAAGAAGCTGACATCTAAGGATCGAGATTCAAAGCCAGCCCATGCAGGGAAGTCTGTGATACTCCTATCTCCAATTAACCACCAAAACACCAAAAGTAGATGGTGGCTCAAGTGGTAGAGCAGTAGCTTTGAGCAAAACAAGTTTGGGCAGTGCCTGGGGCCCTGGGTTCAAGCCCCAGTATTAACACACATGTGCACGCTTTGTGCACTTGTGTACATGCGCACACACACAAACACAAAAGAAGTTCAGGTTTAGCCAGATGCAGTGGTTCCAGCCTGCAATCCCAGCTACTGGGAGAGCGACTATTAGGGGATCTAAGGTAAAATCAGCGGGGAGGACTATGTCCTGCGCAGCAGCTGGCTGCAGTAGCTGGCCAGGTATGGCAGCATGGAGAAGCACAGGTAGGAAGAGTGCAGCCCAGACCAACCGGAACATACAGCAAGACCCTCTCTTGAAAATAACCAATGCAGGGCTGGGAAGGTGGCTCAGTGGTAGAGCACCCGCCTTGTATGCCTGAGGCCCTGGGTTCAATTCCTTAGCACCACATAAGCAAAAAGAAAAAATCCGGAGTGGCGCTGTGGCTCAAGTGGTAGAGCGCTAGCCTTGAACTGAAGAGCTGAGGGACAGCGCCCAGGCCCAGAGTTCAGGCCCCACTACCGGACCCCCCAAAAAAAAAAGAAAAGAACCAATGCAAAAGGGGCTGAAGGTACATCTCAAGTGGTAGACTGCCCATCCTGAAAGTGCCAAAAAAGCCTGAATTTTATTTTACCACTATCATGAAAATAGTGGTATTCTCCCCCCCCCCCCAAAAAAATGCTCACTTAGGTAGTACAGGCTCTGTAATATCAAAAATTAGAAGCAGCAATCTGTTTGGGATTCAGATTTTACTCAATGATTAAGTCATCCCAAACACAAATATGAAACAAGTGTGAATCTACTATGACATCTACTTTCAGTGTAGTCATGCAATGCAAACAGGATCCCTCCCTCCATGGGATGGTATAGGATTTGGCATAACCCAGTTATACTAAAATAAAACGTTGCTAAAACAGGGGCTGGGAAGGTGGCTCAGTGGTAGAGCGCTTGCCTTGCATGCTTGAGGCCCTGGGTTCGATTCCTCAGCACCACATAAAAAGAAAAAAGCCAGAAGTGGCGCTGTGGCTCAAGTGGTAGAGCGCTAGCCTTGAGCTGAAGAGCTGAGGGACAGTGCCCAGGCCCAGAGTTCAGGCCCCACAACCGGACCAAAAAAAAAAAAAAAACCCTGCTAAAACAAATAAACAAAAAGCAGCTAGATGCCGGTGGCTCACACTTGTAATCCTAGCTACTCAGGAGGATGAGATCTGAGGACCATGGTTCAAAGCCAGCCCAGGCAGCAAAGTCTGTGAGACTCTTATCTCCAATTAACCACCAGAAAACCAGAAGTGGCGCTGTGGCTCAAGTGGTAGACTGCTGGCCTTGAGCTGAAGTGTTGAGTGACAGTGCCCAGACACAGAATTCAAGCCCCATGACTGACAAAAAAGAACAAGAATAAGAAACAAGGAAAGGTACTTTTATCATGATAGACTCGGTCCATGGTAAATTCTTTTTTTGTTGTTGTTGGTCGTGGGGCTTGAACTTTGAGCCTGGGCGCTGTCCCTCAGCTCTTCAGATCAAGGCGAGCACACTTAAACCACAGCAACACTTCCAGTTTTCTGGTGGTTTATTGGAGGTAAGAGTCTCACGGACTTTCCTGCCTGGGCTGGCTTTGAACTGGGATTCTCAGATCTCAGCCTCCTCAGTAGCTAGGATGACAGGCGTGAGCCACCGGCACCTAGCTAAATTGCTTTATTTCAATTTTATTGTAAAGGAGATATACAGAAGGGTTACAGTTACATAAGTCAGGTAATGAACACATTCTTTTTGAAGTTACCCCCTCCTTCACTTCCTCCCACTTTACCCCCTCCCCACTCCACCTCCCCCACCCCACCCCGCAAATTGTAAAGCTCTTTTTCTATAGTGTTTAGTGAACATCCCTGCTGAATTGGTTCACCCTTTATCCCATTGTTTCTGTGATTTCCCCTTGCCCTTCTCCTTCCCAAATCAGATAAACATATATAAGACAAAGGGTACAAAAATCGAAAATAATGACAAAAGGTAATAAACCAAAGGAAAAAAGAAAGAAAACAGAAATAAATACAAACAGTACAATAAGAAACATCTTGTTTCCATTTCTTGGAGTTCATTTCAATTAGCATCATTTTGGTAAATTCTTCTTCAAAAGACAATTTAAAAGATATGAAGCTACATGTAACATAAACTTCACTTTTGAAGGGTATGGCTTAGTGTTATTATATACACACATAATGCCACACAACCACCAGCACCACTCATCTTGAGAACTTTCACATCTTGCAAACAAAAATTCTGTATCCATTACCAACTGACTGCTCATTCCTCCTCAGGTCACTGATGCTCACTGCTCTGCTTTCTGCCTTCGCGACTTTAATTACTCAAGGGACTACAAGTAGATTCATACAGTTCCTGTCTTTTTGTTCTGACTTCTTTCAGTTAAACCAATGTCCTTAAGGATTAACCATGTAACATGTGACTGGCTGAGTAATGACTGTCGATACCAAGGTGTATGATGTAGCGTATACCATATACCCCGGGACCTGTCTTGGGACACCTGAGTTGCTTTCAGCTACTATAAATTAAAGTTATGATGTAACAGCAACAAATCTGAGAATTTGGTCACTGTGTGACCATCGTAGAGTGTACCTACCTAAACCTCAATGGCTACAATGTTCCTAGGCAAGGAAATAATGATGGACCGCTGTCATGCGCGCAAAGATGCCATACATGACTGTGATGATGTTGGAACAGTGGTGAACAGGTATCTGTCCAGCCTCTGCTTCCAAGTATTTTGGGAATATTTATGATACGGCCTGAGTGGGTCTTCCAAAAGAACTTTAGCTTTTCAGTACTACAGTCAGTGCTGGGAGGTAGGACTGAATTCTGGGAAAGGAGATCTTATGGATGTAGTAATGTCTTTTTTGCACATGTCCCTCTTAGTTACCTGGAGGATGGGTCTTATAAAGCAAATCTATATTGCATATTCTCACTCCTTTGCCCATACCCAACCTAGGCTTTCCAGTTTCCACCTGAGCTGAAGCAGCGAAAGACCCAATGTAACCACCTGATCTTAAAGATTCCACCTCCAGCACTGTACGCTGAAATAAACTTCTATTCCTTATGGACCACACAGTCTCAGATATTCTGCTGTAGCAACAGAAAAGGACTAAGTCAACACAAACAGAAGTGGAATTGCTGGATCCTATGGTAATTATATTTTTATGGTTTTAGGGGAAACTGCTACAGTGTTTTCAGCTAAACCATTTTAAGTTCCCACCAATAGTACTCAAGTTGTCCAATGTCCATTTCCTCTCTGGTTTGTTGGTAGTTACACTAATGTGAATGAAGTAGTATCTCTCTGTGGTTTACATTTTCCTAATGATTTTGAGTTGAGTATCTTTTTATGTGTGTAGTGATCACTTGTATACCTTCACTGAAGAAAGATCTTGCCAAATGTTTTGTCCATTTTTAATAGCTGCTTAGTTTATGTATGTTATTTTAAAAGTTGTCTATTCTATTAACTTATAGCTCAGATTTATGATTATGGAGACTGCACTAAGTCAGATAGCTTTGGGTAATACTGATATTTTAACAATATTAAGGTATGCAATTCATTAACATAGAGCATCTAAACATTTATATGTACTGTCTTTAATTTCCTTCAGTATTGTTTTCTAGTTTTCATTGTACAAGTCTTTTACAAGCTTAGTTAAGTTTATTCCTAAGACTTTTATATACTTTAATTCTATTAAATGTGGAATGGTATCCTTAGTTTCAATTGTTTATTGGTTCACCGTTTATTAGTGTACAAAAATGCAATTGATTTTTGTGTACAGACTTTGTCTACTTCTACGTTGCTGAATTCATTTACTAGTTCTAACAGGTCTTTTTTGGAATCTTTAGGATTTCCTTCTTAGCATTCTTCCCTCCCTCTCCTCCTCCCCATACCTACTGAGAACTGATCCTGAGTTCTAGTGCTGACTAGGCAGGTACTCTACCATCTGAGCCATACCTCCAGGCCCTTTCTGCCTTGGGTATTTTCAAGGTACAGTCAGTATGGGTTGTGGTCCTCTTTGTACTTCCTGATGTTTCTGGAGATGACAGGTGCATGCCACTGCTCCCAACCATTAAAGATGAAGGTTTACAAACCTCTTTTTGTGACAGCTGGTCTTGAATCGTGATCCCCTGATTTTTACCTACCCATAGAGATTTCTATATAGAAGGACTATATCTTTATGAACAGAGAAAATTTCCCTATCCCTTTCCCATTTGAGTATCATTTATTTCCTTTTCTGGCTATCTGCTCTAGATAAAACATTTGTTTTTATCATAAAATTCTGTGTTTTTGCCTCAAGTGAGACAATTATATAATTAACCTCCTTTCTGTTAATGTGGTGTATTATATTGACTGATTTTCATATGTTTAAGTATCTTTACATTCTAGGAATAAATTCTACTTTGTGTTGTATAACCAATTTAATATGCTGCTGAGTTTAGTTTACTGATGTAGTGTTTACAATTTTTGCATAAAGTTCATAAGGGATATTAGTTGTGTTTAGCTTTCTTTCTTTTCTTATAGCATATTCAATTTCTTTGACACATTTTATGAATGACAATTACCTAGGCTGTTAGGAACTAAAATTCAGAAGGTGAATAAAATTTTGATATACTAGAAAATTTAAATTCCCAAAAAGAACAGTAAGAAGCATGTTCCATCATATCTTCTACCTATGGGAATAGCTAAGTGACATTCTTTGTCATTAACCATGGCAAAATATAATGCAAATAAAAACTTACCTAATTTGAAGGTCCAGAATAATTTGTCTTTTGTCTACATTTTCAGTATATACCTTAACACCATTGACCCTAAGGGGCTGAAATAAGAAGTAACTTATTTTAAAAAACAAGAATTTTTCTTAAAAAACAATATAACAAAGAGGTAACAAGAAAAAGGATTAGCAGCATACTACAGGAATTAATGTTCGACTTTCAGAACATTCTGTTTGGCCTTCAAGAAGTTATTTAGCCTCTGTTTCACAGCTTCCTTACCTGTGATATAAAAACGACAAGGGTACCTACTTCATTAAATTTTGGGGAAGTTAAATGACACAATGAATGTAAAGTATCAAGTATACTGCCTGTCATGTAGTACTCAGTCAACATTAGATATTGTTGTCTCTCCCTTCCTTCCCCCTCTCCCCCCATCTAGTACCAAGCTTTGAACTGAGTCTTGTGCGTTAGCTTGGCTTATTGCTTACAGCTGGCCTTTGTTACAGCCACACCCCCAGTCCGTTTCTAAATCCTATCATCTCATTTCTTTCCATTAACTCTGACCATTTTACTCTATTCCATCTTCACTACATTATTTAAAACATAACTTTCCTTTATTTTTTATTTATGTATCAAAACTTTTCACTTGAGATTGTCATAAAAACGAGGTTTTTGAAGTAAGGAAAGAGGCTGGGAAGGTGGTACAGTGCTTGCCTCGTGTGCAAGAGGCCCTGGGTTCAATTCCTCAGCACTACATAAGCAGAAAAAGCCAGAAGTGGCACTGTAGCTCAAGTGGTAGAGCACTAGCCTTGAGCTGAAGAGCTAAGGGACAGTGCCCAGGCCCAGAGTTCAGGCCCCATGAGTGAGTGAGAGAGAGAGAGAGAGAGACAGAGACAGAGAGAGAGACAGAGACAAAGAGAGAGATAGAAAGAAAGAAAGCAGAAAGAAAGAAAGAAAGGAAGGAAGGAAGGAAGGAAGGAAGGAAGGAAGGAAGGAAGGAAGGAAGGAAGGAAGGAAGGAAGGAAGGAAGGAAGAAAGACAGACAAGTTGGAAAGTTGGATATGACTGTAATTTCCAACACTAAGGAGACAAAATCAGGAGGATCATTGAGTTTGAGTCAACCTAGGCTATATAGAGACCTTGTCTCAGAAAGAAAAAAGACAAATTGTATATGAAATATCTGTGTGTGTGTGTGTGTGTGTGTATGTATGTATGTGTGTGTGTATGTGTCCTGGGGCTTGAAGCTTGAATCCAGGGCCTGAATACTGTCCATGACCTTTTTTACTCGAGGCTAGCACTCTATCACTTGAAGGTTTCTTGGTGATTGATTAGAGATGAGAGTTTCACAGACCCCTGCTCAGGCCAGCTTCAAACATTAATACATGGTAAAGGAAATAGCTCCATAAACACAAAAGGTAGATTTGTAACATATGTCTCAAGGGCCTTCAAACCTTCTTCTCATTTATAAATATGGGACAGCTTTGAAGAAAGTTCTTTACGTTCCTAGTAGCATAGAACTAGATATGAGGAGAACCCTTCAGAGTACAGATGACAGGCTGGGTGTCCCGGTCTCTGACAGAGCTACAAAACTGCATGTAAACTTCACTGGGAATCTGCACCTTTCTTACCACCCAGGTTCCAGGAGTTTCCCTCATGATTCTAGCTAAGATATCTAAAAGCAAGTAATCACTCAGAAACTCAACCAGCTCTGTGGGTCAGTGAAAACGGGGCAGCTCAGACTGACTACTACTACTGTAGATTGCTAGGGTGGGGACTACTTGTCAGAGGTTATAATATCACAGATCCCAAAGAGAATCAAAGATACCCAGTTAAAGGAGCTAGGAACTTTATTACAGCAACGCAGGTCTGGTTCCTAGCAAAGTGGGAGAACGGCCGTGAGCTCTGGGTAGGATGGGTTTTTATAGGGGTAGGTTACCTAGAGTTACATAGACGAGCAATGCAAGGCAGGTCTGGCACATTTTCATTGGTTATGGTTATATGGCCTTAAATTCATTTGTTCTTTATAGTAAATATCATAGTAATAATTTGCAAAAGCCACCCATAGTGGGACCGTGGTCTTCAACTGGAGGACAGTGGTGATGTCACCTGTGGGCTTAAGGCCTTGCTACTGAGGGAAGCAAGCCAAGTTACAGAAGCAAAACATAGCAAAAACACAGCCTTGAGTCACAGGAGCATAAGTAAAACATAATCTTGACTTGGTCAGCATGACAATCCTATCAATGCTATTGACACTACATAGAAATTATTTTTATTGTACTCTTCCAACTAATACAGAAGCTCAGTGCAGCTGAAGACAAACCTCCAGGTGGTCAGTGCCTTCTGCACAGCTGCCAGCCTGGTAAACCTGGATGAGGGAGAGAGGGTCTATTGCTTTTTAGCAAGGATGGAGAAGAGGCTAAGGCTGACCAGCAGTCAGTCTTTGCTTGAGGTTTTTAACGAGAGGTTTTGCCCTTTATCAGTAATTTTGTTCTGTTTTCTGATTTCATATTTTTGTTCTCGTGGACACCCTTCTTTTCCCAGAGAAAGAGGGTTCAGGGCTCAGGAGAGACAGTACATTTCCAACAGCAGGAGGGACTGGGGCCAGACAACAGGGGAAACTTTATGCCAGAGAATAGCCACTCAGATATTACAAGGTCAATGGTGCCAGAACCACTTGTACTATGCAGGACTCTTCCACTGCAATCACTGTTCTCCAAGGGTCCATTAAGTGAGTGTAAAACTCAAAGCACATGCAACAGAACTGAATATCATTGCGTTCTTCCCCAAATAAACCCTGCTGCAGTTAAAATTTTCTGTCTCTACAAACATCAGCATTCTTTCCATTAAGGGACAACAAACTATGATTTGCATGCTATACTTAGCCTTAGTTTTTGTACAGCTCCACAGCAAAGAAAGACTTTTACCATTTTGAAGGATGTAAAAGGGAGAGTAAAGCAGGAAAAGAAAATGCTATCTGAAGCTAAAACATCAATACTGCCCAGAAAGTTTGTGACAGGTACTTTATAGCATTTAAACTTGGAGTTGTGATTCCCAACTGCTGCTGTCACTTTTGGATATGGAAAGTAAAGTAAGCATTACTTTACATGGTCACACAACATCCTGTCCAAGTACTTGGCCATCTGAACAGGATGCCACACCTCAGGAATGTCCAGAATGTGGAGACTTCAAAGCTAAAGGAACCAGCTAGATATACAGGGAAATGCCCCCATGAGCCTCCACTGGGAAACACAGTACTTAGAAGAACTGCACCAAGAGACAATATTCTCAGTATGAACAAGATCAGCTTTCATGGGGAAAGATGACCAGCAGTCTGGAGAGCATGGGATGAACATAACACAGAGCCACCCGAGAGACACTCCCTCAGCCACTCCTGCTACCACCCTGCCTACTGCACGGTGATGCCCACGTTTCCTTTGTGCACTGAGATGTACGAACTGTGTATGTGTTTAATGTAGAGCCAAACTCTGAGTTTTTATTAGGCATATAAAACATGTTATCGTAAACTGTTGCTAATTCTTGGGGCAGACCATACAATCCTTATAAAAACTGGCTTGAAAAATAAAAGGAGAGCTAATATAAACCCCAGCACTTGGGAGGCTGAAGCAGGCACACTGCACGTCTGTGGCCAGCCAAGGCTGCACAGCAAGGCCTTGTCTCAAAAGAAACGTAACTCAGAAAAAGGAGCCTGCCATGATGGAGTCACTTAAATCTAACAGGTGGCTGTTATTAGAAATGACACTGCTTTCCTTTCATAATACAGTCCCATCAATAAAATCTCCTTCCATCTATGTAATGAATAAGATCCTTCAATCAAGATCAGTACCATGAGCTATTACTTTATAACATCTTTTTTTTTTTTTTTGTCTGGTCCTGGAGCCTGAACTCTGGGCCTGGGCTCTGTCCCTCAGCTCTTCAGCTCAAGGCTAGCGCTCTACCACTTGAGCCACAGCGCCACTTCTGGTTTTTTTCTTTTTGCTTATGTGGTACTGAGGAGTCGAACTCAGGGCCTCAGGCATGCAAGGCAAGCGCTCTACCACTGAGCCACCACCCCAGCCCACTTTATAACATCTTAGGAGTAAATATAAATTAACTTTGTTGGCAACTACTGGATCACACTTTAAATGTGTCAGACTGAATTCTATCAGAAGGATCTGGAGTAAAAAGACATGTGAAGGTTGAACTGAGCACAAAAGCACACTCAGAGTGGGGCACACGCAGACTTCCTGTAAGCAGGAAAATTCAGCCCAGGATATACAGAGCAGACCCTAAAGGAACCATACACAAAACACGTATGTTTCTTCTTGGTAAACACTTTCCTCCACAGCATTTGGGGTGGCTTAAGATGTTTTTATATTTCCAAAGCAACCCTACTGTATGCATAAGTAAGGACACAAGAAGTAACTGACCTGATAACCCATGTCCACCTTTGTAAAGCTGAAGGTACTGAGGTGAGCATTTGCTCCCCGAACAGCTGGTTCTATGGTTTCTCGAAACAGCTTCTCTATAAATTGGCAAATAAAAGGCCACATGTGTTTTACAGTCTGGAAGGAAAAAGAACTCATGTTGATCACTGTAATTCAAAGTAACACTGGAGTCACAATGAAAAATTGTAATTCTGTAGTTTATTAAAATCCATTTCTGGCTCTTTTCTAGCTCTCTCTGCTCTCTGTACTCTCTCTACTCTCTCCCTGTTCTTTTCTAGCTCTTCTCTCTCTCTTTCCCAGCTCTCCCAGCTCTCTTTCCCAGGCCTTTCCCCACCACATGGAGGACCAAGATGACCTGGTGCCAGCCGGAAGGATGAATAAACCTACCCCTTACCTGAATACCACGTGAGTGCTGCTGTTCTTACTCGGCTACCTCTCTCTCTGCTCTTGTCTAGCTCTTCTCAAGCTCTTTTCTCTCTCTTTCCTCTCTCTCTTTCCTAAGCCTTTCCCAGCTGCGTGGAGTGCCAACCTTGCCTGGTCCCAGCAGGTCTACTGAATAAACTACCCCTTACCTGAAAAAAAAAACAAAAACCCATTTCTACAGAAAAGAAGGGGGAAATGGTCTTCTTGTTATGTATACTTTAAAGTTTAACCTAAACTTACCACAACAACCAGGCATCAGTGGCTCAAGACTATAATCCTCACTATTGGGAAAGCTAAAACCTGGAAGATTTTGGTTCAAAGCCAGCCTGGGCAGAAGAATCTAAGAGATTCCATTTCCTAAACTGGCCAATATGCTCTTGTGTCCTATCATTGCTAGAAATCTTAAAACTATATCTTAATATTGAAATTTTTTCGACAAACTTCTAGTTCTGCAAAGTGCTATCTAGTATTCACTATATAGATCTACAGATGCACAATACACAAGGTAAACAGACCCAATTCCAGTACACCAATTAAGAAACGTTAATAAAAATATTGTATGTTGTTCTGCTTTTTGAGTTACTTAGCTCTGCTTGTGATCACTGTAAAATTGACTTCAGCATGCTCCACTCAGGAAGGAAGACACAAGCCAGTGGTGACGCAATGCAAACACACCATGTTTTCTCAGCCTAATGACACAGCTCTTCCTCTTTGAAAGGAATGTAACAAACCACTTACAATTGGGTTTTCTGCTGAGAAGTCAGCCTCTCTCGCATTTGAAAGAACTCAAAGGGTGCCACAGTGAAATCCCCAAATAGGCAAAGATGGTTTCTCATCTTAATTCCCACTGATAGATGGTATTTGTAATATTCTAATCTTACCTTATTTAGCCATTCTGCTCTTTCAGTGTCTGGAAAATGAACCTAAAAGAAAAAATGCACATACATGACTTGAAGCCAGACAACTGTAAATAAAATGTCCCACAGGCTATTTTGTATTCTAATTGTATGCCTTATGTTTACATCATGTTTCTTTTAAAACACCCAGCTCTAATGCCCTGGAGCCAAAATGTGGGGCACCTGGCTCAGCACATTCCGGAATTCAGAGCTTCCAGAGCCTTTTCTTCCTCCTAAGGTCCAGAAGGAAAGCCCCAGGCAGCTGAAATATACACGAAAAGGACCTCTTCCTTTTAAAAAGAATTATCAACAATGTCATCATTATGTTCTAGAAATCCAGTCTTTTTTTTTTTCTTTTTGCTTATGTGGTGCTGAGGAATTGAACCCAGGGCCTCAGGCATGCAAGGCAAGCCCTCAACCACTGAGCCGCCTTCCCAGCCCCTAGAAATCCAGTCTTAACACACTACCATTCTCTTCTGCTCTCCTCCTCCGCCCCATCATGAGGCTCTTTTCCACTCAGTCTCCCGCACTTTCCCAACTGCATGCTATAATTTTAATTTTCTATGAGCAGCACCTGTGGATTAAAGAAGTATTTAAAAGGCTAAAAGAAACCTAACTATTGTAGGGAGGGGAATTCTCTGTTGGAGCTAAGATTAAAACTACCCGCAGAGGAGGGCTTTCAAAGAAAGAAGAGCACGCAGACCACTGCTGTGAGCACACACTGTGGTGTAGAGATACAACAGATGACAGGAGTTTGTGCTGGTGACTGAGAAGGGTTTGGTGGCTATAATTTTCCTAAGCTACAAAGAACCCAAGTCAACACCCTCACCTCATCTCCAGGCAGGCTAAATTGGACCATACAGAAAACCCAAGGTAGGCAGTGTTAGTGAAAGCAGCTCCCTTCCCATAGCTTAGTCCATGCCTTCCCTTCTCCACAGCTTAGCATGCCCCTTTCCTAGGCAACACCAGGCCCCTGTAGTAAAGGCAGTAAGCAATCATCTTCCAGCCCCCTCTACCTTGGGATGGCACTTCTCTAGGGCAGCTGCCACCACAGAAGGCAACTAGAGCCCCTTGAAGTGATTTTCAGGCCTGGGCAGCTGCAGGACCCTTATCTACTATTTGGACAGCAGCCATAAATCCTAGTCCAACATGATGAAGCTCCTGGCACACACGTCCATACCAGGTCTCCGCCTCCTAGCCCCTTCCAGCCCCTCCTAATCCTCCTAGGTTATATAGGTCACCTTAGACATAGGCGGTACTTCTCATTCTTCCTTGTGAGAAGGAGTCTTACCAGCCCCATTTCCCAGCTATAAGCCTTTCTTTGTTCTCTGTACCTGTATGTCTGCATGGTTCTCTGGCAAAGTCTATTCATCTTAATTTTGCTCACAGGCAGAATTTATTTTCATGGGGGAGAGAGTCTATAAAAAAGGCTCGCAGGGCACCGGTGGCTCACCCCTGTCCTCCTAGCTACTCAGGAGGCTGAGATCTGAGGATCACGGTTGAAAGCCAGCCAGGGCAGCAAAGGCCATGGGACTCTTATCTCCAATAAACCACTCAGAAAACGAGAAGTGGCACTGTGGCTCAAGTGGTAGAGCACTTGCCTTGAGCTGAAGAGCTGAGGGACAGCGCCCAGGCCCAGAGTTCAAGCCCCACGACCAACAAAAAAAAAAAAACAAAAAGGAGTCTCATCTGAGAAACAGTTCTACCTCTCATGGTTGAGAAAATGGGGCCTTAGTCCGACATAAGTAACAGCACATCAGCTCACAGAAGCCCTGCAGTGACTCTATCTCCTGAGCCTCAGCAGAGGAGCACACAGCTGCTTTGGCATTGGTAGTATCATGGGTTCCCTTTTGTCTGCAAGCCTAAGCAGGCATTATTCTGTTGTACCACACCACATCACATGACGTACTTAATTTGCTTGAACCATAGGTAGGCTAGAATGAGCTGAAATAAAATGTTCCTAAATTAAGTTAGTTCGGATCCACTCGAAAACAAAACACTGAAGGGTAAAAACCTTTTCTAACTAAAACAACGGCTTACAAGCTGGAAAAGACAATACTCAAAAAAAGGCAAGGGTCGTGGAAAGAGAACTGGAGATGATCATTCAATTCTGGGGACGTGCTTCTGAGACCACAGAGAGGCGAATTTTGACCCAAGAATATTATATTCTCCTGTAAGGAACAGGAGGAAATTTGGGGTGTATAACTGGAGGATTTGTGAGACTTTTTAAAATTCATCTGCAATTGGTACAATGACATTTCTTTATATTACTGTAAATGACCTCAACCGTAAAAGTCACGTCAACAAAGGGTGGGCCAAGTATTACACCACACATTCAGCCATGATCCCTCCCAACTTACTAAGAGGCTGTCTGTCTCCCTTACTGCCCCCCTTCTTCTAAGCCCAATGAACAACGGTGGCAACAGGAACACACACACACACACACACACACACACAAATACACCTTCTATTTAGTGACAGCCAAAACTTCATGTGCTCCTTCTGTAATTTCATAGCAAATACTAAATAACATCTCTGAAGTATCTACCTAACATCTGAATGCTCTTGCCTTTCTTTGATGTCTGTCTACATCAACTTCCCTTCAAGACCTCTCCTTTCCAGACTTCCCAACTACACTAAATTTAGCTGCCAAAACAATTCTAGAAAATGAGAATTTCATTTCGATTTGCTTTCGCAAAGACTCGAGCACCTACTTGTTTATCGAATAGTTCAACTTCCTCAAGCTGATCTTCACAGAGCGCTAACATTTTCCCCAGCTTACTCTCTAATGTCATGTCTGTCACATTCCTGTGGAGTCTAGCCAAAGCAGCACGGCTGACAGGGATCCCTCGTGAGCTTCTCCACCAACCTCTCATCTTCCCAACACACGCTGCCAGCACTGACCTAGAGCCAGAGCTTGATGCAGGTCCAGGCAACTTCCTGTTTGTGACACCACTAGAGCCAAACTGCTCCGGTGCCCACAGTACCTTAACTCTCCATAAATCTGCACCAGTCACGGCAACATTCTGAGTGAATCAGGGTCAGAATCCTCAACTCCTGTCTCCCTTAAAGTCACAGGCCTTCCATCTTCTCTCCACCAGACTTCCCACAAAATCTGTAGCTTACCTGACCTAGTATGGTAATAATTCCTAAATGTTTTAGTCACCATATTATATAAAATTCCTGTTTCCAAATACTATCAAATGTACTATTTTCTAAAAAAACTTCAGCTAGGTGCTGGTGGCTCACACCGTCATCCTAGCTACTGAGAAGGCTGAGATCTGAGGATTGTGGTTCAAAGCCAGCCCGGGCAGGAAAGTCCATAAAACCATGAAATGGTTAATTCATCTTCAATTAACCACCAGAAAACCAGAATTGGCTCAACTGGTAGAGCGCTCGCCTAGAGCTGAAGAGCTCAGGGACAGCGACAGCGACCAGGGCCAGAGTTCAAGCCCCACAACTGACCAAAAAAAAAAAGATTTCAAAAATCATGAGAAAGTACCATGTCTGGTAATGTAAGATAGAGCCAAATTTCCCTACAAATAAAAACTGATGAACAGATGATATATTCTTTAAATAGTTTGCACATACAATCTACATATATGTATGTAAATACACATATAAGTTATCATGTCTGTAAGTGCACAAGAGTACAAGAATATATACTGAAACCAGTAACAAAAAGAACAAGGCTTCACTTTTTCCACTATGTCTATACTTCTGAATTCCTTTTGAGAAGCATAAATTACTCTTGTAATTGAAGATTCAAATTAAGAAAATACCACATACTGAATGTGGTGGTACATGCCCATAGTCCAAGCACTGGGAGGCTGGGGCAGAAAGGTTGTGAATTACAGGCCTGTCTGGGCTTCTTACTGGAGCCCTTCTCCAAAATAAACAAGGAAGGAAGGGAGGGAAAGAGGGAGGAAAATGTTTTTGACACAGATGTACTATTTTTTTTCAAAATAAACAAAATTAAGTGAAAATTGAGTTATCAAAATTAAACCAGGCTTTAGTTACACTAGAAGAGGTAGTTATTGGAAATAGGATTTTCCTACAGCAAAAGTATTCCAGTCAGGCCCTGATGACTCACACCTATAATCCTAGCAACTAAAGAGGATGAGGATTATGGTTGAAAGCTAGTCAAGTCTAGAATGTCTCTGAGATTCCTATCACCAATTATTAGCTAGCAAAAAGCTGGAAGTGGAGCTATAGCTCAAGTGGTAAAGCACCAAGCTTGAGGCCCTGAATTTAAGCTCCAGTATGAACATAATTACACAAAAGTTTTCACGTTTTATTAGCAAGAAAAATTTGAAAAAAAAAAGAAAAATTTTGATTATGTCAAGTTTTAAGGACAAAGCATAGCTGTGTTGACCAAATGCCCTTCTGGCTGGACAGGCGAAGTATCCCAATCTCCCTGGGGCCGGTGGGACACAAACCCACGATCAGCTAAAGAAAGGAATCACCAACACTCAGTCAATCAGGCTAGGAATCAATAATAGCCATGGTGACTAGCCCTCACTATACCAAGACAGTGAAGAACAGCGGTGAGGTCAAATAGCTCAGGGAACCTAAAGGCAAGGCCCATGGGGGCCACTCACAGGTGACAAACAAGTTACAAAAGCAGAATAAATGGGGATTATAATTCCGGTAACCAAGGCAATAAGTCATCAAAGCAAAGTAAGATGGCTGAGCTTGCAAACATCCTGATGCCTGACTCTCTACTTTACTCAAGGCTTTATCTTTGAAATTTAACATTTGGCCCTTTTTTTTTTTTTTGGTCGGTCGTGGGGCTTGAACTCTGGGGCTGGGTGCTGTCTCTGAGCTCTTCAGCTCAAGGCGAGTGCTCTACCACTTGAGCCACAGCACCACTTCCGGTTTTCTGTGTGGTTTATTGGAAATAAGAGTTTCATGGACTTTCTTGCCCAGGCTGGCTTTGAACCATGATGCTCAGATCTCAGCCTTCTGAGTAGCTAGGATGGCAGGAGTGAGCCACCAGCACCAGGCTTGGTCTATTCTTAATACAAATGGTCAAGTTTCAGTAACTGTCAGACCAGTTTTGTTCTATTTTTATTTTCATGGTTTTTTTTTATTTTTATTTTTTATTGTGAAAATACTGTACAGAGGGGTTACAATTACATGGGCAAGATAATGAGTACTTTTTTTTTAACCTTTACATTAAGTATTTTATTGTATGCCATTGCCAGTGTATATAAAACAGTTAACTTTGTGAAATAGAAATTCATGAAAATTCAGAGAGGTAGATGTTAAGGACTGACATTAAGTAGAAGTTGGTATTTTATGGCACGTGTGTTACAGAGAAGGTTCTGTACAGGCTTCAACTTTCTCTCTCTTGAATATTCACTGGTTCATAGGAAATAGTCTGGAGATCCTTTGAAAGATTTACTGGACTACAAAAAGGAGCAGACTTTCTGGGGTCTGAAGGGATTTGTACTTGAAGACACTCCAGTCAGCAGTGGATCATGTTGAGCATTCTGCAGACAGAATTGTTTCAAGTCTGCAGCTGCCTGAGAAACCTTCACGCGGTTGAGCCCGGCCTCCATCCGGAGCTGCTGAACCACCTTCTTCATCGCGGCGACGCTGGAGGACCCAGACCTGGCGCCCGGGAGCCGAGGCTGCCGCGTCGGAGCGAGGGGCGGCGGGCGGCGGGGCCAGACGAAGGGGCGGCGCGCGGCGGGGCATGAGTACATTTCTTATCAAGCATTGTAGCCTCCTCCTTTGTTTCCCCTTCCCATCCTCCCCCCTCTCCGCCCTCCTACCCAATCCTCCCCGCTCCCCCCCACCAACGTTGTGAAGTTCGTTTTCGACACCAGTTTTGTTCTATTCCCAGGGCCTGTACCTATGTTCCTCAGGTTACCTGGGACTTGTGTGTCCTAGTTAAATTTCCTTCTTCCTTGGTCTAGTACCCTATCTTCTTAATTTTGACCTGGTCCTAACAATTTCACATTTTATATTCTTTCTTTTTTGGGGCGAGGGTCACCACACGGGGTGCTCTGCAGTTGAGTGCTTCTCCCTTCCAACACTGACTTCAGGGGCTCTGTCATGCTTGATGCCACGGTGGCCCCCCAGAGCACATCTGGTTAGAACCACTGTGCCTGTCCACTCAAGGCAGCACAAGAACAACTTCTGACGATTGTGAGCTCAAGCCTCAGACAATGCATTTCCTTCGCAGAGCCATCCTTGTTTGGCATGCGTTAGCTGCTTCCCTAAAGAACCCATGTATCCAGCAATTAGGGTCTGTTCCTGTCCCAACCAAAGGGCACATGTGGGGAGGGAGGAGCAGTACCTGCCCCTGGAAGGTTCACGAACAGTCCTGCCATTTTTGGGGGTTTGGGGGGAATGGGGAGTATGGTACTGGGGATTGAACTCAGGATACTTCCAAGGCAGGTACTCTACCATGTAAGCCATGTCTCCAGCCTCTCTCTCTTTGCCTTCATTACTTTTTGAAGTGGGTCTTGTGTTACGGCCTGAGCTTCAACTCTAATGTCTGTGTTTCACCAAGTCAATGAGGATGACAGTTGTGTGCTGCTGTGCTCAGCAATTGTGCTATTCTGGATTGGAGTAACAGGTTTGTGCCTCCACGCCCAGCCATGGGTTGAGATGCAATCTCACAAACTCCTTCTTTCCTGGGCTGCCCTTGAACCACATCTCCCAACCTCTGCCTCTCATGAGGGTTGAGGTGGAAGGACGGAGCCCCAGTGCCCAGGCCCAGCTTCCCATACTTCTTTACAGCTTCCAAAACCCTTGTGGATACAGTTGCTAGAACAATCTTTTGTCTTAAAATTAGTCTTTGACTCTGAATTTCTGATACAAAGATCCTAAATCTCAGAATTTCCTAGGTGACAGGACCATCTCTTGTTCTAATCAGGTGAGTACTGCTGGGTTCCTGGCTAGCTTCAGGATGGGGGCAGGAACTGAACTTCCAGCCAGCCACCCTCCTCCCACCTCTGGGGAAAGGACAGGAGCCGAGGATGAGATGATCACCAATGTCTACTTAACGAAGCCTCCACCCAAGCGGAAGGACCAGGTTTGGAGAGTTTGCCTGTTGGCCATGGGGCAGTGAGCACATCAGGAGTCTGTAAAAGGGTATCAACACTGTGTGACCCTGCCCATGCCCTGCCCAATGGACAAGTCATCTGGCTGGTTGTCTATATCCTCAACAGTAAGTGTTGAGGGCATGAGAAACCACATTTGTAACTGGTTCATCAGGAGCACTGGTGGCAACCTATAACAGGAATTGTCACCTGGAGGAGAGGCACTCTTAGCAAACCTGTGCTGTCTGAACTAGTCCCAGGTAGTGCGAGAGTCACTGGACTCTGAACTGGTTTCCGCTAGAAAACTGGGCAGGGTACCCATACAGCTCCACAATCTGGTGTCCAAGAGGTGAACTATGGTGTTCAAAGTGAGATTTGAGAAAATTCTTTTTTTTGGCTTTTTAAAAATTAATTTTAATTTACTGGAAAGGTGATGTATAGAGGGATTATGGTTACATAAGTGAGGTAATGAGTACATTTCCTGTCGAACTTTGTTACCCCTCTGAGAACATGCTAAGCCACAGACAATTCAGTGTGGCTGAACTACAGATGGAGGAATGGATATGAAAACTCCAAGTGAGATATGGACATGCTAAGTAGGGCTGGCTTTATTCTACAAGGCACACAGGAACATCCAAGGTACTGGCAAGAAATATGTGAGGTTAGCATGCAAAGTGATTCTCTGCAGTGACTGATTTTCTCTGGAACTAACAGAGAACCAGGCACACAAGAGGCCTGTTCCTGAGGCGATTTGCAGGAGCATCCCAAGCCATCCACTGGCTCTGTGGCGTTTAATTTGCAAGCTGTTAGTGCACATGCTCAAGAGATATTCTCACTAGAATATATCAAACTTGAACAGAATATATCTGCTACCACATTTTAAATTCTGTTCACTAAGTAAAATCTGCTTCTCACTAATACATATTCATAAACATTTGCTCATGTTGCACACAACAGAATTTAAAGTAGCAAAAACATCAGAGAAACAGATACTTAGATAAGAGAAGCATATTGTTAACCAGGAATGGGTGAACCCATATTATTTCATTCAAATCATATTGTCCAAGTGAGAAAAAGTTACTGAAAGCTCCTTTACAGTTCCGATTACATAATCAACTTTCATGTTTACTATTTATTATCTCTGTGAACCACAAATAATCATTGTGAGGTTATTCATGTTTCTATTAAGAGTTGAAACCACCCTTATCATTTGAAAGAACAAAGGTCTATTTGATATTCTAATTTTAATGGTATTACCAAAGTTGTATGTTTAGAAAAACTAAACCAAATATACAAAATCAGAACATTTAACTTAGTCAGGAACTCTACATACAATATCTTGTTTAATGTTCACAAGAAGGCTTTGAAAGATCAATGGCTCTAACAGACTAGGAAAAATGAAATCCAGACCCAGGGGACTCTAGTCCTTCCTGTTACACCTGGCTAAAACAAAAAGGATAAAACAAATGTGTAAAATGGTCAATTTTTAATTTCTGGGTAAATATTTTCCCATCTCTAAAAGTTAACAATACAATTTGGAATAAAACTGAAGTTAGATAACAGGAATGACTTTCTTCAAACAATACTGCTCTTGGCCAGGCGCCGGTGGTTCACGCCTGTCATCCTAGTTACTCATAAGGCTGAGATCTGAGGATCACGATTCAAAGCCAGCCCAGGCAGGAAAATCCATGAGACTCTTATCTCCAATAAACCACCAGAAAACTGGAAGTGGCGCTGTAGCTCAAGTGGTAGAGTACTCGCCTTGAGCTGAAGAGCGCAGGGACAGCGCCCAAGCCCAGAGTTCAAGCCCCACAGTCAACAAAAAAAACACAGTACTGCTCTCTGAAGATCATTGTATAGAATGTGATGTATGTCATTGTATACCAATCATTGTATATCAAGATCTTGTATAGAATGGTTTGTAAATTCCACACCATAGCTTGATAGTAACAACTATAATCAGTACAGCAGCTATTTTTCGGGAAAGTAGGAAGTGCTCTGTGTGTACCTATAATTCCAGCCTTTCAAAGAGGCAGACGCTGGTCTGAAGCCAGCCCTGGGCAAAAAACCTGAGAGCCCATCTGAGAAATAACTAAAGCAAACAGATTGGGAGATTGTTCCAGTGGTAGAGAGGCTGTATAGCAACTACAAGTCCTTGGGTTCAAAGCCCCAGTACCGCCCCCCCCAACACACACACACACACAAGTGTGTACAGGAAATGCTGAAGTATGCAACACAAATTAATCCTACTGCTTACTCCTTTTTTAGGGGGAGGGGGGCCAGTCTCGGGGGCCTGAACTCTGGGTCTGGGTGCTGTCCCTCAGCTCTTCAGCTCAAGAGGAGTACTCTACCACTTGACCACGGCGCCACTTTCTGCATTTTTTCTACTTATGTGGTGCTGAGGAATCAAACCCAGGGCCTCATGGATGCAAGGCAAGCACTCTACCGCTGAGCCACCTTCCCAGCCCTGCTCACTCCTTTTTAAAAAGTAAACCTACATTAATAAACAATGTAGAAGTATTTATTTAGATATTTATTAGGTATTAATATATTAGATACAGCTGGGCGCTGGTGGCTCATGCCTGTAATCCTAGCTACTCAGGAGGCTGAGATCTGAGTATCACTGTTCTAAGCCAGCCTAGGCAGTAAAGTCCATGAGACTTTTATCTCCAATAAACCACTAGAAAAAAAAAAACCAGAAGTGGTGCTGTGGCTCAAGCGATAGAGCACTTTCCTTGAGCTGAAGAGCTGAGGGATAGCGCCCAAGCCCAGAGTTCAAGCCCCACAACCGACAAAAAAAAACAACAGACACTAGATTTAGAGAGATAACATCTGGCAAAGTCACACAATGATAACCACGTCTACTTCTATTATGATTGAAGTACTGATACCTTAATACCTTTAATTAAAAATCAATGATATGTGAATGATCACTTTGTTAGCATTTTGCTCACCTTTGGTCCTCAGCCCCTCCCATCCCTGGAGTTCCCACCATACAGCTGGCCCCTCCCTCTCTTCGCCCAGATCCACCCAGGCTCCCTCTACCTCACTTCCTTCCCTCAGACCTCCTGCTACCCAGGTGGTGCTGAAGCCATGTGTTCCCTTTGGTGGGGGGGCAGGGGGTGGGGGATATGGCTCCTCTGATGAGCCTTATAACAGTTGATCAATCTCCTGTGCCTGCCTGCCTCTGGGATGGTGGTCCCCTGGGATGGATGTATGGGACCACTTTAGCAAGTCAATCCTATTTACTTATTTTATTTAACTAGGTATGATGGTGCACATCTATAATCCCAGCTACCTGGAAGGTAGAATCACAATTTGAGGCCAGCCCAAACAAAAAGCAAGGTCCCTTCTCAATCAGTAGCTAGTATGGGGGCATTGCTCATCATTCCTGCTCTGAGGGAAGTAGAAATAGGACAGTAGTCCAGGCTAGCCCAGGCAAAAATGCAAGACCCTACAGAAAACGTAACTAAAGCAAAAAGAGCTGGGAGCACAGCTCAAGTGATAGAACGCCAAGTTCAAAACTCTAGCACCTCCAAAAATTTTTTTTGTTTACTCATATTCTTAATTCCAAGAAAGATTTGAGTTTGACTCCATCCTGAAGACCTTCAGTCACTACATCAAAACAAAACTGCAAATAGTGCTTGAAGCAATTA